CTGGTAAAGTTACCAACGTGCGAGCGTAAATGCTTTACCTTTTTTACATGGCTTTCAGTAGCAGTCAATGACTGGTGAGTTAACGATTATAATAAGTAGATTAAGATTATTTAATAATATTTTGTACTTAATAGTTAATTATTCATTTAGTAAACATGCATTGATTTATGTCTTTAATGAAGTATAAAGCTAGACGTATAATGTTGTAATCATGTAGGAGCTTGTAATTTAGTATCCATATGTTCTTGCTAATATTTGTGATCATTCATAGACTACACATGATAATTTACCCTCTTTTGCCTATATGTACAGTATATGGATTATAAATTGAGAGTATAGTATAATTTTTAATTATAGTAAAAGTATTATAATTATCACGAATTATTTACTGTCTTCAAGTTTGCCGCTAGCGTGGGGACGCTAAGCGAATCTTTTACTATAAATATTTATGTATCACGTGTGTAATATGCTATATGCCGATTGGCCAAATAGGTTTATGGCTTACTGTTATCTGAAGCCACTTCCTTTGGAGATTTCTTTGTTCTCCAGAGCTTTCTTTGTTTTCGGACAACAGATTGTATTAATTAATGATTGAAGTAATCTGTGACAATGTTTTGTATGATTCAGTAATCACGATTAAGATTTTAGTACATGATCCTATGTATTTTATATTGTTATGTTTAAAGTAAATGACATATTATATTCATTTAACATTAATTATGTTACAGAACGGATAATGTTAACTAAGAAGATTAACATGAGTTTTTGAGGCTAAAGGCGGTCATATTCACGTAAGTTTATTTAATATACTGTATTTAATCGATTACTAAGATAAGACAGTTTATTGTACTGTATTGATATTATACATTGTCAGTTTTCCCATTATTGAACAGTTTTAATAATAAATTTTGTAATTTACTGTGAAGGGTTTAAATGATCAGTTGTTTACTTGCAGTATTTACATGAGTGTAACTTCATGATTTTTATGATACTATCGATGATTCATTTTCTACTTGTTTACTTATTTTATTTTTCTATTTTTTATCTATATTCTTTATATTAATTATTCGTATTTGTACTTTTGTATTTAGTCACCGAACAATAGATCGGACCGAACAATAGATCGGACAACCGATTTGGTAGTCAAACTGACACAGTTGAAACAAATAAAGGTTGAGATTGCTTAACTGATGGTTGCATTGTTACCTTGTTCGAGTTTGTGTGAATGACCAAAGACGCCCTCTACACCCCAAACTGGCTCCGAGCCCAAGAGCATTTACACTCATCCTTTAATAAATAGGTCATGAGAGTTCCCGCACGATTAAAAAATCGAAAAGGAACTGGGTTTTTCCATTTACAGGAACTCGTGCTTCGTACAGGTCATTCCATTCATAGAAGAAGCCTTCATTAACG